CAAAGAGTTGAGAGAGGTGATCCTGTTAGCCACACAGGTATCTGATGGGTGGAAGGACATTCCAGGCAGGGGGACCACCGACGCGGAGACCTACAGCAGATGCCTATGTGGCAAGTTTAAGAATAGTTAGAGAGTCATCGTGGCTAAAGCTCAATAAGCAAAGAGGATAGGAAAGAAGGTCCTAGAGTCAGTAGGGGCCAAGTTCATACAGAGTCTTTCACTCTGAGTGAACCCAGTAGCTCTTCAGGGTTTGGAGGCAAGGCAGGAAATGATCTGACCGACGGTTTGAGGCTCCCTGTGTCCTCTGAGTTGAGACTAGTTTGTGGACAGGCAACGGAAGAAGGATATCATCCATACAGGAATAGCAGGCATGTCTTGCCCATGAGATTCAAGAAGTGTTTGTCAAATGAATTAATATAGGAATAAATAGACTATGGAGGCTGACGGGTAAGATACACAGAGATTCTCCCAAACATGAAGTAATGGGTGGTGTGCTTTCACATCTGTGGGAATCAGACATAGTATATTAAGGTTATATCTTACATTTGTGTGTGTATGCATATGGTTGTGCTTAGCTCTAAATGCATACCTATAAATATTTACTGCTTGTCTTCTATGTGGAAAGCACTTTTAATTTTGACAAATGACTTCACCTATTTTATGCTACCTATATAAATATATGCATAATATAGTATTGACTAATGCCAAGCTCTATATAAAAAGGCTACATTCATTTCCCCCAAAACAGCCCGTTCTAAACTGCCTAGCTGAGGTTGATTTTTTTTTTTTTTTTAATTTGGAGCTTTATGGAAGAAATCTGTTCTCCCAAACATAAAGGTCATAGTTTCAATTCCCATTTAGGTCTGTTCGTTTGAAAAGAAGGGAAACCTTTCTACGGCCACAGGTTCTTCCCCCACGCCGAGGCACTCGTTGTGAAGACTGCATGTAGGCCTGAGAAAGGGCCCGCAGAGGGGCCCTGGAAAGCCCGGTGCAACCCACCTGGGAGAAGAGGCAAGGACGGGCACACTGGTGGTAGATTCCCATATGAAAGTGCTGTTTTTAAACATGCCCCTCCAGTTTCAAGATGATCAGCATCAAGGTTGGACAGTTTTAAGGTTGGGAGAAATCGTTTCATCCACCGAATCATTCACAAATAAGTATCCAGTATATGCGTGTCTGTGTGGGACTGACGAAACAGCCCCGCAGGAGAACAGATGTGCCGCCCCAACCGTCTCATTCTCTCCAGGGTGATGTCACCTCAGGGACTTGCATTTGGGTAAGACCAAGAAGAGCTTCCTCTTTTAATGTGTATATATTTATAAAATACTTGTATTATACGAAACATGTATATGTATGTGCTGTATATATACAAATATTCACACAGTACGTGGACATACAGACTACCTGTGATATAAACATTTAATGGGGAAGAGTGGTTAGGGATAAAGGAATCTAGAAAGACGCCTTAGGGAGGCAAAAACACTGAGAAACCTTTGTCTACAGGGAAGCCAGTGATCAGAGTAAAATATGGTCGTTGCAGTGATAGGCAAGCACCCTCAGGAACGCCTAACTGGGTGTGGAGCAGGAGGTCCTGGAAGGCCTCCTGGGAGAGGTGGCACCTCAGCAGAGCTCCGAGGCACGAGGCATGGCCACTGGGGTCACTCGGGCTGGTGCGTAGGGAATGTGGTGCTGGCAGCAGGTAGAAGAAGAGCTCATCTAATGTAAAAGACCTGGACGATCACTAACGGACTGAAAAAATTTTTTTCTTAAATTACAGATGTTCCTCCTTGTTCTCCCATGCACACCCTGCTCCTGTCCCCCCCCACCCGCCCCAGCCCCTGAGCCCTCACCGCACTGTGTCCCTTGGTTATGCACGTATACGTGTAAGTTCTTCGGTTTCTCTCTTCCACTCACATGGGCTTTTAGTGAAACAAATCTATGTAAACCCCTAAGTTATCTAGCTGGGCTAATTTGGCCAATTGATTCAGAATGTCAGATAGGATCCTGAGAAAATACTGCAAACTGAAAGCGGTTTCTGTGTCCCAGCTGGGCCTCAAGCCTGTCCTCTCTGACAGAATGACCTCCCCATCGTCTGCATCGTCACCGCCTCCATCCCCCTGGCTTGCTCCCTCTGGTCACTCCACAGCAGCAGAACAGCAGTGTGCAAATGGAGGTACTGGGAGAGCTCCCCCAATGTACCCTCCCCTGCTCTCAACTCTTCCTGTGGATCCAAATCAGCACCTCCGCCAGTCGGGAAAGCATGTGTACAGTCAGGCTCTAAGCTCCCGGTCTCAGACGGTTCACGTATTTCCTTAAGTGGAGTTCTTAAACTTTAGAGTCTAATGCACACTATAAACATCCCCCCGTGTCACAAATATTTAGAGTACCTTTGATGTGTCAGGCATGTTCTGATCACTGGCGACAGAAACGGAACAGAGTACATAAGGTCCTTCACTCATAAAGCCTGCTTTCTCACGGAGCAAAGGCAAATAGAAAATAAATGAACCCAAATAAATCTAAGAAGTTCAATGAATGGTAAGTGTAGGATTAAGCTTCAAAAGGGTAATAGGTTCAAGAGTGGCTTTAGATAAGGAGATGGGGACATCAGGATAAGGAGGTGACATCTGAGCTGAGAGCTGAATGAAAACCAGCCATGTGACTGGGAGAGAGCGCCCCAAACATAGGCAGCAGCAAGTGCAATGGCCCCAGAGGGGACGAAAGTGGCAGGGAGAAAGCTGAGAGTGGGGGTGTACCTATATGGCTAGACTGTTCTTAAAACATAGTTTTCAGCATTAGTGGCCTAATAGACTCTGCCCCCCTACACATGCTTCCCAGGTACCCCCGGGTCTCCCTAAAACCAATAAGTAAAGAATTAATGCCTTTAAGGACCCTGTACTTCTGCTATTTTCAGTTTGAATAATGAGAACCCACTTCATAGCATGTATTAAATAATGTAAATATCACCTCTACTCTAAACATAGTGTACATGACATTGTCATACAACTTCAAGGGTGAACCTGACTGTCCTCAAGTCCACCCCTAAGAATCCCAGCTTTATCTGCTGAACAGGTAAGAGCACTCAGTAGTTGGACATGTGGGAGGAAGGTTTTCCCAGCTCTGGCGCTTAGTGTTGGGACCATGGGCAAGTTACCTAAAATTTCTCTGCCTCGGTTTCCTGTAAAATAAAAGCAGTGATAATGGCTCATAGGGTGTTTGTGAGAATTTGGTCCCCTTGCATGTAAAGCTTTTGGAAGCCTTTTGACACATCAGAAAGTATTATAATGGTTATTATAATAGTATTACTATCTGCTAAATTATGCCTACCATCCCCACTCAGATTCATCCCATTTTCTTATCCTAACATCCTTTTTTCTTCATTTCCAATGGCCAAATTTCTACTGACTTACGAGGTTCAGATAAAGTGCCACAACCACCATAAAACTTCTGATTTCAGCTTCCGGAAAGGCCCGTTTCCACCTCTGAACAACTGTTAGTACTGTGGTTTGTACCGTCAGCGTCATCAGCTGCTGCCTTACAAGGTGATTTTGTGTACTTGTTTTGCATACTCTGCTAGACTGTAAATCACTTAGAGCAATGCTGTCCCATAGAAATATAGCTTGAGACACATAAGTAATTGTATTTATTCTATTTTAGTCATGTACATTTTTTTAAAAAACAGGTGAGATTAATTTTAATAATGTATTTTATTTACTCTCATAACGAAAGTATTATAGTTTATTATACAATTGATATAAACAAATTACTAATGAAGTATTTTCTATTTTTTGCGCTGAGTCTTTGAAATCCAGCATGGATTTTACACATACCACACCCCTCAACTCAGACCAGCCGCATTTCAGGTGCTCCACAGACACACGAGGACAGTGGCTACCATTCAGGGCCTGGATCACCCCTATAGCTCTTTCTAGCTGGGCACATTCCCTATTGCCAAAGTTCAATTACTATTTGTCAAATTGATCACCTACTTTACTTATTTATTTAAAATCACTACCAAATCTAACCCTATGGAAAATGTATTCCTGCTCATCATAACAGAAAAAGGAAAAATAATTCTGTCATCTTTAAAGAATAAGTTTGTTCTTCCCCTAGAGAGCTAAAACAAAATTTTCAGTTATTTTCTCATTAATAATATTGTTTAGAAGTACTAAGTCATGAATCACTAAAAGAAATAGTATGTACAGCAATAAAATTATTTGTTGTGTGATATGGTCGGAGAAACAACTCCATCATACTTTTCTGATAAGAATAATAATTTTACATAAGAGTACTGAACTCTTCAAACAAATGTTCAGGATTTGGTAAATACTGGTAAAACTATTTTGATGTCATTTTCCTGCTCACCACAAGATGTTTCCTCAAAGGGCTGTGCTCTAAATATATAGTCAGTGTTTTCATAAACGACCCCCAGTCATTCAGATGCAGCTACAGGAAATGAATGACATTATTTCCGTGGTCATTAACAGCATGGCGTCAGGAGCGGGCCAACTTGAATTGTTCTAGTTAGAAAGTTCATATGGAAGTTGAAAGCCTGGTGTGCTGCCCTGGCCGGTTTGGCTCAGCGGTTAGAGCGTGGGTCTGCGGTCCGGAGAGACCCGGGTTCAGATCCTGCTAAGGGCATGTACCTCGGTTGCAGTTTGTCCCCGGCCCTGGTTGGTCGTGCGGGTGGCAGCCACTCGATGTGTCCCTTTCACGTCGATGTTTCTCTCTCTCTCTCTCTCTTCCTCTCTCTCCCTCCCACTCTATCTGAACAAAAAATGGAAAAATGTCCTTGAGTGAGGATTAAAAAAAAAAGAAGAAGAAATAGAAAGCCTGATGTGCTTCCTATGACTCTAAAAGTGTAGCTACCCACTCCTTCCTTATTCACATAATTCTTGCCCCTCCTTTTACCTTCAACTACGCACAAACCAGAAGTTTTTACTGTGGTAGAGCTTCACAAAGAATTAACAAATTATGGTAATCAGGGAAGTAGAAGAACTCACCTTAGGTAGTCTCAGTGGTAATTTGCAAACTGGCAACTGATCATGGTTTTCATTAAGTACAAGAGATTGATCCAAGTCCCGGACTATCTTTTCTTTAGGTACTTTATAAACTACAATGGTGCCCTTATAATGAGAGCAGCTGTGGTTGCCAAATTCATCAACCTCTTTGATTTGGAGTTCCAGCCTGGATTTTCTTTGTAAATGAAAAATAAGTGTGTAGTCTTTTCCATAATCCTTCCCATTGCCTACATAGAAGTAAAATGCATGTGTTACTCTTAAGATATACCACTTTGTCTTAATTTTTTAAAATCCAAATAATCATATACTTCTTTAATGCAATAGGCTCTGAAACTGTGTCATTTTCTCCAAGGATTTCTCATTTGTAATTGCACCAATGGCTCTCTGGCTGCTTCTGTATCTACGAGTCTTTTATTTTCTTTTTCTGTTCCATTTTTGCTATAATAAGAAATTATTAGAAATATCCAGCTGGTTCTATGTTGAAAAAATTATTTTCACCTTTCCAGAATTATTATTTTTTTCTTTCCCCTTTCTGTATCATAGTGCACACGATCATGACCTCATAATGACATTCTAGGTCTGCCCTCTCCTGTTTGGGTGCCCCTACCAATGAGCAGCTTTTTAAACAGAAGTTAAAATTAATTAAAATTAAAATTCAATTCCTTAGTCATGCTAACCACATTTCAAATGTTCACTAGCCACATTTGTCTAATAGCTACATTATTGGGCAGTGCAGAAGTAAAATATTTCCACCATCACAGAAATACACAGTGCTGTTCTAGAACATCTAAAGGAAACAGTGACTAGATTCATACTACTGGAATTTCTATTCAAACCTGGTGAATTCCCCCAAAGCAATGATATGTGAAAATCTTTCACATTGCTTACTGAAAAGAATGAAGCTTTAGGAAACATAACCTTCACTGATGGGCGTTTTATCGTGATAATCAGGATATTTTACTTTGTCACAGCAATAGTAAAACAGACACTACCATGTGTCCTAAGGCGTGTCTGCATTACTCTTAGCAAAACTGAAAAGGAAGGTATAATGCAGTAGCTATAATATGTTCCTGACATAAAGATATAGATCCAATTCTAGACTCTACTACTTAGTTACATTGTGATATTTATCCAGTTCTTTCATATCTCTGAGCTTCTTAGAACTTTACTTAACATTCTTATTTTTAAAACAGGAGAAATAAAATGTACCTCCTAACCTCCTACATTGGTTCTGGGAATGAAGCGAGATAATATGGATAAAAATACTTGGCACAAGGCCTTGCCTGTCATACATTACTCAATAAATTAAGCAAAGGTAGCCAATGATATGAAGCAGAATTTTTCTATTGTTTTGCATTTGTTTGACAAAAACAACTCACTTAAACTTGGTCTGCCCATTTTCTGGTACTTTCTGGATTTCATAAGCACCGGGGCTTCGATGCTATCCAGTGAAAAGCTAAAGTGCTGAATTAACACCTTGGACCCAGAGAAGGAAAACACACTCTTGCTTTGCATCCAGAAGAATGCCAAAGGTCAATATAAAGACCAAGGAGAGTCCCTACTATCTATTTTTCTCTCAGAAGTGGAATAAAATCCATATCCCATGGTCCTCACTCAAAGGAATCATCTGTATTCTAGTAATGAATATGGAGATGTTGACATGACATTTCTCAGACAGCAGTCATCTAAATGTATTAAAGTTTCAAACACTCAATCACACAATGCTGTTGTGCTAAGACCTTCCCCAGGTTGTTGTCTTCATTATTCCAACAAATACTCACTAAACTCCTCCTACCTGTCTGGCCCTGTCAGATGCAGTGGAGGTTGCCAGAAAGACAGACCCACTCTCCATGCAACCGCACTCAGAGAAACTGTCACTGCTCAAACGATTAGACGAATAAATAGAAGGTTGCATGTATGGCAAGGCCCACCAAAGAGAAGCACATTGACTCTGAAGAAGTACAATGTCGACTCTGAAGAAGTAAAATACGGACTGACGTGATAGGGATAGATGGAGAAGGCCTTTCTGAACATGATCATCAAGGTGAGACATGAAGATGCAGTAGGAGGTCAGTGGGGGGTAGGTGGAGAGACATCTGTAATACTTTCAACAATAAAGATAAATTTTTAAAAAATACAGTGAAGATAATTGCAGGTGGGGGTGGGGTGGGTGGGGAGGAGAACACTCGAAGCAGACAGCCTCTGACTTCATGTCTGGGATATTTAGAAAGGACGCAGGCCCTGATGCAAGGACGAGTATCGATTCTGTAATCCTTGCTCCTCTGCAATGGCGAACACACCATGAGGCTCCAGGGCTGAGCATAGGTCTCTAGGAAAGGCAAAGCAGGAAAGACTGTGGTTTCCTGCCTGACTCATTTTCCTTGAGTGAAGACGAGTTCTTCTCTGTTCCTCATTTGGAGGATGGTACACACGCTGGCTACCTTCAGGAACTTCTTTTAGCGTATGTGCTGCCATGACAGGCATAGTACACCCAGGAGCACTGCCCAGAAGAAGCACAGTAATTCCCTGCTGCTTAGGGCAGTAGGTAAACACAGCTGCTGTCCCAAGTATTACAGGAAAGTCATTTGCATCATTCATTTGGGTGGGACACTTTCAGTTTTTGACTATCTCTTCTTAGAGAGATTGTCCCACGGTGGACACCATGGTTTCTGCTCTGGCAGCCAAGTAGGAAGAAGGGGTTTCTTCTACCCTTCCTTCCTACCCCCTCCTCTCTCTTCCCTTTCCCTTTTTCTGACATCCCTGACAGTCACTCAGTGGCCCTGTCAGCTGACTCAGATGGCTGAGACTGTGCAAGTGGAAGAGATTCTTCAAATTGGGACACTTTGGGTCTCACATCACAGACTCGAGAAAAAGAGCAGCCTCAGCTTCAAGCTGCATCTGTTTTTTTTTGGTACATGCCCCTACCGGGAACCAAACCCGGGACTCTCTGGTCCACAGGCCAATGCTCCAACCACTGAGCCAAGCTGCATCATTTTTGAAGCAACAAAGAGCCCATGGGGCTTGCAGCCATTTCCAGAATGAGATAGAAAATAGGCATCATTCAAAATCAATGGAACCTAGATTAATTCATAAGTGAAGATTAAATCAAGTCAAGTCTGTTACAAGACTCCTGGCCCAGGAATCCCCTAACCCCATCCCTGAGCTTTCCCTCACACTGCATCTTTGTAAGCATACCTGTTAGATTCGACCCCACCGCAAAGAAAGGAGTAGAGAAGGGAAGGGGTTGACTGGATAAAGACATCGCTGTGATGGTGGCGCCCTCAAAACCTTGTCCTCTCTTCTCTCACTCAGCTGTTGTGTCTGTGTTTTCCTTTTTCTTCCTTTTCTCTTTCTCTTTCATCCCTTCTTTCTCATTGATTCCCTCACTTCTCCAACCTCTCCCGTCCCCTCTCAGATTCACTCATCCTGTTTGTTTTTCTCAGCATCATCACATGTATGGATGCGCAAGAAAACGGTCATTGCCCTTGTGAAATTTACATGCCAATGAAGAACACAGCATAAACCTGCGCAAGCAACACAAGTAAACAGATTTATCATGGAAACCAAAAGCACTAGGTAATTATGAGGGGGAAAGGGAAGCAGTGGGGTGACCCCTGGAGCAGATGCTCTAACCCACTTTTGTGCCATGGACCCTGTTGAAGCTTGGTGAAACCTACTGATTCCTACGCAGGGCAGTCTTTTAAATATATAAAATAAAATAAATGGAATTATAAATAAGACAATTGTACTGAAATATAGTTCTATCCACACATATCTTAGGAGTCCACTGACCCCAGATTAGATTATAAAACAACAAGAGTTTGGGTGTTTAAGTAGAATTAGAGATAATTATAAGGTTTTAATCAGGAGAGTAATAAAGTATTTTTTGTATTTTTAAGAGATCACTGTTGTTACGATATGGAAATGGATTCCCAGTGACTGATAGGGGAAGCGGAGGAGTATTCAGGAGGCAACTGCTTTGGCGTAGGAAAGAGATGAACCTCGCTTGGGCTCAGACAGCAGTCCTCGAGAAGACTATTTCGAAAAGAGTATCCCTTACAGGCTACCCATCAAGGACTATGCCCCCCCTAAAAGGCAAAGAAAGAGCCGGGAAGCCGCTCAGCCCTCAGTTTTCCTTAGTAACACACATTTAGAGAAGTCCTTCTGAAGTCTGTGGCTGATAGCCCACTGGATATACAGAAAGATACCTTAATGCTCACCTGAAGCAAATATGTTTCCAGTAAACCTTAAAAGAAGCCGTTCTCCTTCTTTCACCTGGAAATGGCAAGATGGCTCTGGAGAACCACTGGAGGCTTCCAAGCTCAAAGTCCTAAGCTCCTGGCTTAAATCTTTAGAAGGCACCACTGAAATGACTATTCTGTGTGGGTCGTCTCTCTGGTGATACAGTATGACACAGGCACTGAGGCTGAGCATGGCTTCCTCTAACGATTTCACAAAAGAAACCAAATGACCATTGTCCACGATGGAAGACAAGTGGAGCACAATAAACCTGCATGGAAGAGAAGATGCTTGACTGAAGGGAAATACATGGTCTCGAAAATATCATGGATAACTAACAACACCCAGGAAGGGAGCCATTATCATCCAAACTTCCTTTGAAATCAAGCATTCTGATGACCAACTGGTTAGATTCATAAACTTTTTCGGATTGGGGCCCACCCTAATGACCTCACAGTTATTATCATCATGGAATTTAAAAAATGATGGTGCTGTTTTAAAACTATTTTTGGAGTTAGAAGAAACTTTAATGAAACCTTGGCAGTCAGGAGACTGGTTCAAATCAAACCAAAGTCTAAAACATGTTCTTAAATGAAGAAATGGTGTAGTCTCAGCTCAGCTCTAAATACGGCAGCATACTTTAAATTAGCTTTTCATTAACATTACTAAAGAGTATTACTTCAAAATATAGGAAAGAATGATGATCCAAATAATCCATTTACTAGCAATAAGACAGAATATGTATATAAAAATTAACTGGGGATTGAAATATTCTTCGCTGTCATGTGTCGTAAGGATTGTTGTGATGGATCCTGTTTTGGGTTGAATTGTGTCCCCTCGACTCAAATTCATATGTTGAAGTCCTAATCCCCAGTGCCTCAAAATGAGACCTTATTTGGAGATAGAGTCTTTAGAGAGGTGAAGTTAATGTGAGGTCATTAGGGTGGGCCCCAATCTGATATGACTGGTGTCATAAAAAAGGGAAATTGAATTCCAGGTGAACATAACAATAGAAGCTACAGAGAAAGCCTTGAAACAGCTCCTTCCTTCACCCTCCTCAGAAGGAATGAACCTTGCTAACAACACCTTGACTTTGGACTTCTAGTGTTCATAACCGAGACAATAAATTTCTGTTAAGTCCCTAGTTTTTGCTACTTTATTCTGGCAGCCTAGAAAATTAGTACAGACCCCCTCCCCTTGGTTGGAGTACCCATCACCCACCTTTTCTCCAGACAACTGCCCTCCAGGATCCCTCAACCTGAAGCAGCATCACGCCCACAGACAAGGACTCACTGATGCAGACAACTCATCACTCACACTGCAGAGCCTGCTGCTCCTCTCATTCCCTTTCAGGGTTCACCGGGGCCCTTCCCCAGTAAGTCACTGCATTTACATCTTTGACTCTTTTTTCTAGGGAGCCTGACCCAAGACAATAGTAGATGCAAGATGTTCCATTATGAAATAAAGGCTATCTTTGGATATGTGATTGCCCTCTCTTTATGAATGTCTACTTCTTGTGAACCTTAAAACTGTCTAGAACTCTTGTAATAATGAGCTGTCTAGAAAATATGAAAATGAGAAAGCAAAATGAGGACACCGAAATAACAAATTCAGTTTATATAACATAGTTATGAGATGAGAATAATATGAACAATTATCATCATCATGGAATGTAAAAAATGAAGGTGCTATTTTAAAACTATTTTGGAGTTAGAAGAAACCTGTATAAATAAATCTAACTTATGAGTGGTTTCCAAATGCAGTTAAGAAAGTATCATAAGTGAAATTACAGATAGCATATTCATGTCAGTTTTGGTTTACATTTTAAGTACACCCTAAGGGACTATTCCTATTCTTATCTGAAGAATAAAATTGAATCCTATGATTCCATTTCTGTAAACCCCAGTGATAAATCATCAGGATAGAATATCATCAGCTTTTATTGTCTACTATTATATTACCTCTCTAAGTGTTCACACAACTCAAATGCTATCAAGCCACTCTGCATGGTTCTCACCACAACATCATCAAGCCCAAACCAACCACTGTCTCGGCTTCTGAATCCCAGTAATTTCAAAGATTCACAGGCATTGCTCCCAGGCTTTCTTACGGAAGCACTTTTGGTCCTATGGAATGATAGCAGAAGATAAATTGGGAAAATGTGGATAGCATAAATCATATTTAATTCATTTATATTTTTCATTAAGTGAATGATTTAATAACAAACTCATTAAGTATATACTATGTGCCACTAATTATTTTATGCACCAAGAGTACAAAGATAAGAAACATATCACCCTTGCTCTACAGAATTAGTATGACAATATTTTTCAATTACAGGACAAGGTAATCCGTGTGGTAATTAAGGGAACGGACATGTGGTCTAGCCGCAGAAGGAAGGTGCTCAGGGAAGCTCACAAAGTAAAAATACTGGTATTTGACAAGAGCTTTGGAGAATGAGAAGCACTTTGCTACTGGCTAAAGAATTAAGCAAACACCCTTAACATTGATACACTTTCTGATGTAAACTTGGATGCTTTAGGATAGCCAAGAGTAGTAGTATAGCATAAAAGGTAAGACCACAGACTGAACAAGATTGCCCACTTTCAAATCCTGGGTGGCTCTCCCTCTTATTAACTGTACGACTATCAGCAATGTGTCTTTATCTCTCTGTATCTCAGTTTTCTTGTCTATAATATGAGACCAATCATAGTATCTGCATTGTAGGATTAAATGAGTTAATATTTAAAGCACTTGTAATTGTAGTAACCCTAAGTGATATTAATAGTCATATCCTAATTCCTACAACAGTCATAGCCAATTAGCTTTCTTGTACAATTCTCCTTCTTGCTGAACTGGCCCCACTCAAAGCCCTGAAAGAAGCAGTAGTATGTACCATGTGGTACTTTTCCCCCAACACCCAATGAATTTGATTCTTTTTTTTTTTTTTTAAGTTGAGTAAGAGGCCCAGAGATTGTGACTCATCTTTGTCCTTTGGTTGCCATGCCCTGGTCTATGAAAGTGAATGAGCATAGAGATCACTAAGAAAGAAAAAAATCGGGTAGATGCTAAGAAAGAAAGGGAGAAAAATGAAGATGAGAAAATCAGCGTAGGCCTAGAGATGGAGAAAGGTGAGATTACCTATTGTAGCCTTACAGTAGATTGCTCTTTCCTTGAGTTCATTGAAATGGGTGTCTCTTCCTCACAACTAAAGGAAGAAAAATGCTTGATGCTGAACATCTTGCAGGAAAAAACAAAAATCGAATGATGCTGCAACCCACGAGAGAACAGAACGATTCTAGCTAGGTACTGAAAATGAAAACCCTACTGTGAGTCACACATCTTTATTTTTTAATAGAATTATTTATGGGTATAAAACCAGCTTAGTGTCACAGGTTGAGAAGATGTCTATGATCTATAAATTAGCAACTGAACTAGATTTAAAATGTCTGCTCTAAAAACTAGACTGTGTTGCCCTGGCCGGTTTGGCTCAGCGGTTAGAGCATTAGCCTCGGTCCAGAGAGATCCGGGTTTGGTTCCCGCTAAGGGCACGTACCTCGGTTGCAGTTTGTCCCCAGCCCTTTTTGGGTCGTGTGAGTGGCAACCACTCGATGTGTCCCTTTCGCGTCGATGTTTCTCTCTCTCTCTCTCCCTCCCACTCTATCTGAACAAAATATCGAAAAATGTCCTCGGGTGAGGATAAAAAAAAATAAAAAATAAAAATAAAAACTAGACTGTGTTGATTTCTTCTGGGGATCAACCAGAATAAAATCAGGAGGATGGGCAGGAAATGACATTTAGTTTTTGGGTTTTGGCTTATCACTCTTGAAGTTAATAATTTATTAACACAGGAAGATGCACTCATACTGAATCCAAAACTTTGGTCATTTACTAGAAACTGACTTAATTAAATGTACTGTTGGTGTAATGATGACAACTCTTACTTTTTTCTACCGATAAACGGGTCTCAGTTGTCGTGGGGCTGACTATACTCCCAGGTCTAGGTAGGTATATAACCTGAGCCAAAGAGTGCATTTGGCATTTATTAATGCTCTTTACCTAAAAAAATTCAATTTCTGCCCATTCTTAATCTATGGTAGGGTTACACTTCCTTATTCCCCAGCGGCTGAGTGTGGCTCGTGACTATTTCTGGTTAATGAATAGTGAATAAGGAAATATATGTCACTGTGAGTGCTAATGTGAGTCTATCCAAACACTTTTTTCTGCCACCATGACAGCAACAGTGATTGCCCTTCAGGGTAAGTCCGGGAGTGAGGACAACCAAGTAGCAGCCCACCTTTGATGGCCACGTAGCATGTGAGACAGACTGTTGGGATACTGGGTTTTCGGTACCATGCCATAACCTAGGCTCACCTGCCCTGCATAGTGCATCTTCCTTGTGGTCCCTGGGGTCTGTTATGGGATGGGTTTGTAACAGATTTACAGTTAGAATAATACTCTAGGTCCTTATGCTTTTTGCTGGAGAAAAGAATTTCCTCTTTTCCACCAGTCTTGGAATGATGAAGACGTAGCCATGTTGCAGCACATGGAACCAGCGCAGAGAAAGACGGGAAGAGAATTGAGAGAGCAGGTTCATTCTGGTTCAAGAAGTAGGGAAAGAGAAATATATCCCCAGATGTTTTAATTATATGCACCAAAGAATTCCATTTTTAAACATCTTTGGGTTTTATCCTGGCTTATTTGGCTCAGCAGTTGGAGCATTGGCCAGTGGACCAAAGATTGGCGGGTTTGATGTGTCTCTCTCACATTGATGTTTCTCTCTCTCTCTCTCTTTCCCTCCCTTCCACTCTATCTGAAGATAAATGGAAAACTATCCTCAGGTGAGGATTTTAAAACAATCTTTGGTGTTTTTTGTTTGTTTGTTTGTTTGTTTTTTTCTGTCACTTTAAATGAAGAGTCCTTAGCGATACAAAGATCAATTTTAGATTCCATTTTTTTCCTTTTTTAAAGATATAATTGACCTATAACATTGTTTAAGTTTAAGGTCTAAAATGCGATGATTTGATGCATGTATTTATTGTGAAATGACTACCACGATAAAGTTAGTTAACACACCCATCACCTCAAATTTAGATTTTACTGTTATCGATACAATTCATGTTGCAATTAAATGCTTTGGCGGCATCCTTACTCATCCCAGCTGTTCTTAACTCTGCAAATAAACACTTCCTTTTATATGCCGGTGGGGCAAAAGTGGGTTTATGGCTGTGAGTACATAAAACACAGAATTTATTTTGTATCAATATTTATTAGTTATTGTATTATTTTCCATATGGACAACTGTAAACCTACTCTTACCGCACCCTGTATGCTATTAGCTAACTTTGACACCTTGCATTCCTAGCAGTGAATAGCATTCTTTTGTACTAAGATTCTTTAAAACATAATCAACCTTTGTTAAATCAATTGTTTTTTCAATAATAATTGACCTTGCTGTTTCTTTTCTCTTTTTTTATGTTTTCATTGATTTTTTAGAGAGAGAGGAAGGGAGAGATAGAAACATTAATGTGAGAGAGAAACATCGATCAGCTGCTTCCTGCTTGCCCCTTATTGGGGATCCAGCCCACAACCCCAGCATGTGCCCTGACCAGGAATTGATCCAGGACCTCTCAGTCCATGTGATGACGCTCAATCCACTGAGCCACACCGGCCAGGTTGACTTTGCTGTTTCTTGAGTTTAAACTCTTCCCATATCCTAAATTCCAGGCACCCAGGGAATAATAACTGGCCTATTTGAGGTCAAGTGCTCAATTATAATGAACATAGTCAGCGATGACTATGAAAGATCTCATTAAATCTACAGAGATAGAAAGGACAGTTTCTGGAATTTGTGGTATAATTCGCCCCAAATAGAGTGGCCGGGTAGACAAAGCAGCAGGTGTCCACTTCAGGCTGCCTTTCTGTCCCAGATAAATGCCTTAATGCTATATAATTCAAGGACACTCGAGAGATTTTTCCCAAAATAAAAAAGATCTGCTGCAAAGGATCTCGATATTTTGTTTCCACAAGTAGAAACAGACATTACTGGGAACTTTTTTAGGACAATTACTTTTTAATTGTTTACACTTTATTTTTTCAGAACAGTTTTAGCTTCACAGCAACATTGAGAGGAAGATACAGAGATTTCCTATACAGCTCGGGCCCCCACACGTGCATGGCCTTCTCAGTTATCAACACCCCAGCCAGAGTGCCATGTGAACCTGCACTGACACGTCACAACCGCCCAGAGTGCAGAGTTTGCGTTAGGGTTCATCTTGGTGTTGGACATTCTGTGGTTTGGACAAATGTATAATGATAAATCCATCATTATGTATCATACAGACTATTTTCACCATCTAGAAATCCACTAAGCTCTGCCTAGTCACCCTTCTCCCACCCCAACCTCTGGCAATTACTGATCTCTTTACACTCTCCATGGTTTTGCCTTTTCCAAAGTGTCATATAGTAGGTACCATAGGGTATGAAGCATTTTCAGATTGGGTTCTTTTACTAAGCAATATGCATTTAAGATTCCTCCATGTCTTTCTAAGGCTTGATAACTCATTAGATCTCAGCACTGAATAATATTTTATTGTACAGATACTATTTATCCATTCACTTACTGAGTGACACCTTAGTTGCTTGCACATTTTGGCAATTATGAATAAAGCTGCTCTAAGATCTGTGTGCATGTTACTGTGTGGACAGTTTTCGACTCCTTTGGGAAAATATCAAGGATTGCTATCGCTGGATTTTGTGGTAAGTGTTATGGTTTGTTTTGTTAAAAACCAACAAACTGTCTTCCAAAGTGGCTGTAATATTTCGCATTGTCTCAAGCCACAAGTGAGAATTCCCACTGCTCCACGCCCTCACCAGCATTTGATGTTGACAGTGTTCTGGATTTTGGCTATTCTAATAGGTGTGCAGTGGTACCTCATTGTTTTAATTTGCTTTTCACTGATGACGTGATGTAGAGTATCTTTCCATATGCTTATTTGCCAGCTGTTACCTTTTTTGATGATGTGTCCATTAAAGTCTTGGCCCAATTTTTAATCAGGTTTTTGTTTCCTTATTGATGAGTTTTAAGAGTTTTTTGTATAGTTTGGATAATACTCCTTTATCAAAT